TGTAGCTTTAGCTTTAACTTTAGCTATAGCTTTAGCTTAGCTTTAGCTTAGCTTCAGCTTAGTGTTAGCTTAGCTTTAGCTTAGCTTTAGCTTAGCTTTAGCTTAGCTTTAGCTTAGCTTCAGCTTAGTGTTAGTTTAGCTGTAGCTTAGCTTTAGCTTAGCTTCAGCTTAGCTCTAGCTTAACTTTATCTTAGTGTTAGCTTAGCCTTAGCTTAGCTTTAGCTTGACTTTAGCTTAGCTTTAGCTTAGCTTCAGCTTAGTGTTAGCTTAGCTTTAGCTTAGCTTTAGCTTAGCTTTAGCTTAGCTTTTGCTTAGTTTCAGCTTCGTGTTAACTTAGCTTTACCTCAGTGTTAGCTTAGCTTTAGTTTAGCTTTAGCTTCGCTGTAGCTTCGTTTTAGCTTCGCCTTAGCTTCGCTTCAGCTTAGCTTCAGCTTAACGTCAGCTTAGCTTTAGCTTAGCTTTAGCTTAGCTTTAGCTTAGCTTTAGCTTAGCTTTAGCTCAGCTTTTAGCTTAGCTTTAGCTTAGCTTTAGCTTAGCTTTAGCTTAGCTGCAGCTTAGCTTCAGCTTAGCTTTAGCTTAGCTTTAGCTTCGCCTTAGCTTAGCTTTAGCTTAGCATTAGCTTAGCTTCAGCTTAGCTTTAGCTTAGCTTTAGCTTAGCTTTAGCTTAGCTTTAGCCCAGCTTTAGCTTATCTTTAGCTTATCTTTAGCTTTAGCTTTAGCTTAGCTTTAGCGTAGCTTTAGCTCAGCTTTAGCTTAGCTTTAGCTTAGCTCCAGCTTAGCTTTAGCTTAGCTTTAGCTTATCTTTAGCTTTAGCTTTAGCTTAGCTTTAGCTTTAGCTCAGCTTTAGCTTAGCTTTAGCTTTAGCTTTAGCTTAGCTTTAGCTTAGCTTTAGCTTAGCTTTAGCTTAGCTTTAGCTTAGCTTTAGCATAGCTCTAGCTTAGCTTTACTGTTACTACTAATGCTGCTTCCCTAGGGGCTCCAACTCCTAGGTAGGGTCGCACTGGGATAATTTTGTAACTCGGTCACAGGCGAGGTGCCGTGTTGGTCGATGATTGTGGTGGGGTGGTGGTAGTGATGACGATGGTGGTGTGCGCCGATGGTGATGATGACGACGATGATAATGATGGCCGGTGATCATGATGGGGTCCTGGTTTGATGATGACTGGGTATGTGTTGGCTGAATGTGAATGAGTGAGTGAGTTGTGGTGATGATTATGGTCGATGGCCCTGATGGGATGGTGGTCGTGATGTTTATGGTGGTGAATCATGATCATGTTTGTGCTGGTGATGATGATTGCGGTGTGGATGAAACTTGTGATGCTGATTGTGATGATGAGGATGGTGTAGTAGCACGGCACCTTGTGATGATGAGTGTGATGATGTTGATGCTGATTCTGATGAGGAGGAGGATGATGCTACTGCTGCTGATGGTGATCCAGGTGATGGCGATGATGAGTATGATGCTGGGGGTGATGATGATACTGATGATGATGATGCTGATGCTGATGATGCTGATACTGATGACGGCGACGGGGGGGGGTGCTTGGAAGCGTTCCAAGGCAATGCAAATAATGCAATGCAAAGCGGCGGGGGATGGGTTACCACCCGTTGCCCAGACGCGCGGGGTTTCCCCTTGCACCCGATTCGGCCATCGATGGGTGTCCACCGGCGGCTCGGAAACAAGGGTTCCCCCTGCCCCCGATTAGGCCCAAGATGGGTTACCACCCCTGGCCCGGACGCACGGGTTTCCCCTTGCGCCTGATTCGGCCGCCACCGCCGGCCCGGAGACAAGGGTTTCCCAGCGCCCGATTCGGCCGCCGATGGATTACCACCGGCAGCCTGGACACAGAGGTTTTCCCCTTGCGCCCGATGCGTTACCCGCTTCGGCCGAGGATGGGTTAGCACCCCCAGCCCAGACGCAAGGGTTTCTCCCCACCGCCCGATTGGGCCAACGATGGGTCACCACCGCCGGCGAGGAGACAAGAGTTTCCACCTGCGCCCGATTCGGCCGGCGATGCGGTACCACCGCGGGCCTGGAGACAAGGGTGTGACCCAACGCCCGATTCGGCCGCCGATGGGTTACCACCGGCGGCCCGGACACGAGGGGTTCCCCCTGCGCCCGATCAGGTTACCCGTTTCGGCCGATGATGGGTTACCATCCCCGGCATTGACGCAAGGGTTTTTCCCCAACGATCGTTTCGGCCGACCATGGGTTACCACCGCATGCCTGGGACAAGCGTTCTTCCCTTGCCCCTGGTTCGGCTGCCGATGGGTTACCACCAGCGGTCCGTGTACAAAAGTTTCCCCCAGCGCCCGCTTCGGCTGCGGATGTGCTAACACCCGCTGCCTGGACACAAGGGTTTCCCCTTGAGCCCGGCCGCCGCCTTGTCATCGTCATCGTCATGATCCCGTGCGCTGCCAGTATCTCTGAACTCTTAGGGAATTGCGCCAGACATCCTCGCGTGTTGCCTAGTTGGGGTGCTACAGTAGGTGGAGGACCCGCTTTGGATTCGAACATGAAGTGCGAGGCCCTTATAAAAAAGGGCCCTCCCGCGTGAGACTTTCGCACAATTTACTCAGAGACGAGGCTCCCGCGTGAGACTTCCTCAGTGCCGGTGCGTGCGAAAAGACGACCATCCGCGCGCGATGATGTGTTGAGAGCATGCCCAGGAACGCGGCGCCCGAATGCTTCCCCGAGAAGTTCACCCGGGCGGCACTATAGTTTTGACCGAATCTAGGAAGTCGCAAAGACAAGCGCCGCGCTGGCCCCTCCACCCCCTGCCCCCCTGATGCAAAGCTGAGGAGACTGACGAAACCGACTGCAATGGACCTCATCGGTGACGTCGTCATGTCGGTTCGTTGCTCAGCTTTGCATCGCTGGGGGAAGGGGGGGACGCGGGCTTCGCGCTCGCCCTGGTGCGGCGACAGATCCGGCTACCGCCGCATGGGCGCGCCGTGGCATTTCCGCTTCGACCGCCTCCCGGACGGCGCCATGTGGGGCATCGGTGTCAGAAGCTGTGGTGCCTGGCAAAGGCCATGACTGTCCGCGGTGTCACCAAAGCCTCGTGAGTGGGGAAAGTGCAAGGGGCGGAGATCTGGCTCGGCGGCTCACTTCTGCGCGGTCGTTTTTAACGCGCGCCCCGGTATTGATGTCTCGTAGGCCCAGAAGGAACAACAGTTGAGGGCGATCTGCTCGGATTGCTAACGTGAGCGGCGGGCCCCAAAGGGAGGGAACCCCGCCTGAGATTTCTCGGAATTCATTCACAAGCGAGGCTACCGCCTGATACTCCCGCCATATTCAGTCTCGACGGGCTCCTTGCAGGTTTGACAATGCCCCGCTCGGATTGAAAAGCGCGAAGCGCGGGCCCCATGGGGAGGGGCTCCCGCTTGAAACTTCCTCGCAATTCTCTCACAGACAAGGCTCCCGCCTGACACTCCTTCTATATTCAGGCCTGTTGAATCCAAGAGCGATGAGAGTTACCAGTTTTTGGGTGACCCGCTCAGATTAAAATCGTGAGCTGCTGGCCCCATGTAGAGAACAACGCCGCCTGAGACTTCCTCGCAATTCACTCGCAGACGAGGCCCCCGCCTTATGCCCCCTCTGTATTCAAGTTTGGGGAGCCCGAAAGTGACGACGGTTTTTGGATGACCCGCTCAAAGTAAAGACGTGAACAACGGGCCGCATTGGGAGGAGGCTACGGTCTGGGACTTTATCAGAATTCACTGACAGACGAAGTTCCCGCTTGAGACTCTTCCAGGTTCAAGCATCATGGGGCCAAGAGTAACGACAGCTGAAGGTTTTTTTGTCATGACCTGTTCGGATTGGTAACATGATATGCGGGCCCCATAGGGAGGAGGCTCCCGCCTGGGACTTCCTCACAACCCCCTCACACATCACTCGCAGACGAGGCCCCCGCATGAGACTTCCCCACTCAGAAACGGAAGCGCCAGCTTAATATGTTCTACAGGTTCACGCCTCAGGACCCGTGAGGAGCGAGGAGTGAATGAGTGAATGGTGATGGTGATGACGGTGGTGAAGGTGGTGGTGATGGTGATGATGGTGATGATAATCGTGATGTTCTTGGTCATCCTGATCATAAGCACGGCCATGCTGATTGTGTGAGCTTATGAGTGATAATGACGAGGATGACACTGATGCGAGAGAGCGAGTTATTGAGTGAGTGCGTGAGTGAGTGAGTGAACGAGTGAGTGCGATGATGATGGTGACGAAGAAGGGGAGGAGGATATCCTGCGTGGGGAGTGCAGAGAAACAAGAACCCCTGTGCGGATTTTGGGAATATGTCGCCTTTCGCCCGCTTGGTTATTCGAGACTTTGAGACGCATGTGCGCGGCTCTGAAGCTTGAGCCACAGTTTGAACCGCCCCTCCATCCGTGTAGTTGCTAGTTCGTTTGTGGAGTGTGCGCTGCGCCGGGGCGAGTGACACATTTTGAAAAAGGAGCCGCCCTCAATCCGCGAAGCGTGCGAGACAAATGTGCGCGGCGCCCACGCGAGAGCCACATTTTGAAAACGACCCCCCTTTCATCAGTGTAGCTGTTGGTGCGTTTCAACCTTTGTGGTCATAGACGGGGAGGGCGGTTCGGGCGAAACGCCTTACAAACGCGTTTGGCAGTCAGGTTCTCCAAAACGATGTGCAAGGAAAACTGAAAAAGGGTTAAAAGGAGGTGGAGGTGGTGGCGTTCCATCAGTGCGCCCTCGAGGGCAGCATTGAGAAGTGCGTAGGCTCCTTGCCTGGCTCAGCGGGCGCACGCGGCGCGAGTGGGCGCCCCGCCACCCGTGCGACGATCGACCGCCAGAGAAGGAGGTACAGCCACGACGTGCCCCTGGCATCTGGTGTTTGCGGAGCGAACGGCCGCAACCGTTTCGTGGGCAGTCCTGCCCTGCTCGGTCCCCGCCTTGGGTGCGTTTGCTGAAGAGGGCCTCGCTCGCGTGGGTGCTTGCTGTTGAGGCGGGCTGGAAGCCTCTGGGCTCGGCGGAGCGGATGCGGAGGCGGGCGACCAGCGGGCCAGCCGTGCCATCCGGAAGCCCCAACGAGCCAGCGCCAGCGCCTGCTGCTGGGGTGGACTCGGCCGCGGAAGATTCATCTGCTGCGCGTGAGACTCACCCATCGCCGGATTGACCTTTGGTGCGTGCGGGACCGCAGGGGTCTCCCCAGCGCTCGCTTGTGCGCGTGGATTTGGCCCTCCCCCCCACTCCCCCACCGAAACCGCACACCAAAGGTCACTCTTGCCTGGGGTCATTCTTCCGTGCAGCCGAACTCACCCTCGGAGCGCCGCTGGTGCATTCGGGAGTGCCTGCGGCGTGTGGCCGCGCCGCCAGACCCCCGGTCGCTGCTGGCGGCCCGCTGCGCGCTGGCAGCTGTGGTGGCCTGGGACGCGGCCTCGAGGGCCTGTTTGGCGCCGGCGTTCTACGAGAACGCGCGCTCGTCGTACCCGAGGTTCGCGCTCGAGGAGGACATCGGCAGCCTCGCCGTGCGCGCGAACCCCTTTGCGCTGCTGGACGGTGTGGCCTGGCCGCGGGCGCTGTTCGCGCTGACTGGCGTGCTGGCTCTTGGGGTGCCCTGGTACCCTGGGTGCTCTGCGGCCTGCTGGCTGCTGACCACCTTCGCGACGCTCCGGAACGTAGAGGTCACGTTCATATTCGACCGCTACCTGCACGTCATGCTGCTCTTCAGTAGCCTCCTGCCGTACGGCGACTCCTCTGGCCCGGGCCTGGAGTGCCTGCTGTTCCGGCTGCAGATCGTGTGGATATACCTCGACGCCGGGCTCGGCAAAGTGGCGGCGCCAGAGGGCGACTGGTCGCTGCGGGCGAAGGTGCCCGCGCTGGCCGTATACACGATGGGCGCTCCCCTGCTGGGCCAGGCGGTGGCCCTGGACCGGTGGTGCTGCGGCGGCGTGGCGGTGCGCCTGCTCACGCCCTGCGTCGCCTGGGCGGAGCTGCTGGTCGGGCCCTGGACGCTCCTCGCGACCGCCTCCGCGGGCCTGGGGCGGCTCTGGCCGCGGCTGCTGCCCGCCCTGGTCGCGGCGTCGCTGCACCTCGGCATCGCTCTGGGCATGGAGAACGGCCCCGCGATCGGCGCCGTGGCGGGCGCAGGCTGGCTGGCGCTGCTGCCGGCGGAGCTCTGGCCGGCGGGGCCCATGGCCCTCGGCCGCGGCAGGCGCGCGGGCCCCGAGGGGTGCAGGGGCACGGGCACCGCCGGAGGGCAGAAGCCTGGCGGCGCGCACTGGGGGGGGGTGCCGCGAGGGGGCGGTGCGCTTCTCAGAGGGCGGGGGGGCCCTTCAGAGGGGGCCCGGGGGCCTTGTGGAACGGCCCTCAAGAAGCCAGCGGACGGCTTCTACTCGAAGGGGGCGGTGCGCTTCCCAGGAGCCCCCTTCATAGGCTCCTCAGCAGGCCGCCGCCCGCCCTCGCGCCCCCCCCCCCCCCTGGTGCGTGCGGCCAGAGAGCCCTGGACGACGTGCTCGGGCCTGGCCGCGCTGGCCTTCGTGGCCTCCTGCCTGCTCTTCGAGCTCTCTGGCGCAGCGCCCGCGCCCGGGCCGCTGCCGACGGTGATGCTGCGCAACCGCTGGAGCGTCTTTACGGGCGCCGAGGATCGGTGTCAGAGGAACATCTTTTGGTTGCAGTCACGATTCGCGCCGGGGCCGTCTGGGGATGCCCAAGACTGGCTCGTTCTCAGACGGCGCCGGCGCGAAGCTCGACGTGACCAGGGGCCAGGGGGGGCCACGGGCATCATGGAAAAGCAGGCTCCAGTCAGGACGCTCAAGAGGGGCTCTGCGGAGCCCCACTGGTTGCAGAGGCTCGCCGTGGCGAGAAGAGCCCCGTCGCTCCTGCTCCTCCGTGCATTATGGTAGCGCGATTGCTGCATGCGTGCGTCACCCCCGAAGGGGTGACGCGCGCGCTCAGAACTCTTGTAGCAATCGCCCGGCTGCGGGCGCTGTCCGGCCGTACCGCCTGGGTAACGATGCACTGTAGAGTTGTCGTGCTGCATGTGCAGCTCGGACGTGCGCATCCAAGGGGGTCTCATGCAGTCGGGCCGCTGAAGAAGGAATCCTTTTCGTTGGGGAGGGGCTCGGTGCTCTTTGCTTGTTTTGCCGTTTTCCTCTGGGTGTTCTTGGGCTTCCTGTGGCACGTCGAAGTTTCGCTCATGGGAGAAAAAAAGGGAGCCTCGCTCCCGGTGTAGGGCTCCTTCTGACGGCGTTGCGACTGTAGTGCCAGTGTGTCCTCCTGCGCCCCAGAGGACTCCGTGGCCTGGGAGGTGGGGCCCGCACGCCTGGCCAACGGCAGCGTGGTCGACATCTGGTCCTGGCGCGAGGTGAGCTTCGCCAGGCCCTCGAGGTACGGGCGTCGGGGGCGGTGGATGAGCTTCCCACTCGAGCCGAAGAAGGAACAGCGGCGTAGACACAAACTTTCGGAGCTCCGCGCGGACGTCTCGGATCGGCGCTGGAGCCGCGCGGAGCTCTCCGACAGTTCGCGTCCGCGCCGCGTTTTCTTCTTCCGGAGAAGCCTGCGTCGGAGCGCGCAGTGAGTGCGAGGTTCGAGTATCTGTGCCGCGAGTGGAATGCCGCGCACGAGGTCCCCGTGGAGAAGTACCAGCTGTTCGAGCTGATCGCCATGCTCGGCGCGGAGCAGGAGACAGCCGCGCCCACCAAGCGGCTGCTCCGCGTGCAGTCGTGCGCAGGCGCTTGATCCGTGGTTCTCGGCTCTGGTGCCCATGTAGACGATTCGAGCGTCTGGTATTTGCTCGCCTCTCGGCCTGAAAAAAACAGACGCGGTCGTCCTTCTCCTTCCTCTGGAGAACGAAGAAGAGGGCCCTCCTTCATGTTATCCTCGCCCCCCGTCCTGTCGTGACGTTGGCTCCTCCTCGGGTTTATTTCTGAGGGCCTCCGCCATCACTGGGATTGGCCCTCCCTCCCTCCCCAGGCAATCTATCCTGACGACTCGCTGGAGTCGAGAGAACGGGGGTCCAGGGAAGGATTCGTGCTCATACTTTTGATCGAATTCGGGTGGTTTGCCTGGTCTTACCTGGACTGGCCCAGTGCTCGCAGAAACAGCATGCGCAGAGAGAGACGTGTCAGGCTATCGGCAGGCCTCTTCGCTTCTCCTCCACCGAGTCACCGCGAGAACTGAATCACCACTACTCTCCGAATCCCCTCAGCGCCACTGCCCTCCGAATCCCCTCAGCGTTTTAACCAATGTAAGGGAATTGCAGCGGCCCCCAGCACGCACGAGCTGTTGGCATTCGGCGCGCTCTGCACGCGTGCACGCCTCACTGTCAGAATCAAGGGCTTCCGCTCACGTGGAAGGCCCGTTGCAAGCCGCACGCGCATCATTTGCTCTGGGACACGGGCCTGACCAGGGGGGTCCGCGCGGTCTCGTGGGGGCCGGGGGGGAGGGGGCGCGCGGCGTGATGGCTTGAGCGGGTGGGCTCGGGGGCGCGGGACCCTTTGCGGCGGGCTTCAACGGTGGCGCCACGCTGTGACACATCGGCGTTTGCGGCGGGCTTTTGATTTTCAGTTTCTGTGAAGCGAGGTGTTGGCCAGCGTGGGCCCTTAACGGTGAGCTGTTGCTCAGGGTGTGTGTGAGCTACGTGGTGCAAGCTACGTGGTGTAAGCAATGCGGTGCAAGCTACGCGGCGCACTCAGTCCGGTACTAGCTGTGTGTTGTAAGTGGTGTGAGCGGAAGATCGGGACAAATCGGAACCAGAGATTCTGTGAGAGTTCCAAAGAAAAATAGAACGCCGAATTGTGGAGCGCAGCGCGCGCATTCGCAGAAGTTCCCCAAGGACTTTTCGAGGGCTTGAGGAGCCCAAGTAACGCATGGGCGCTCAATTAAACTGTTGAGGGCGGGCAGAAAAGCTGGTGTGCACGAGCATTGGGGGCGGGTGCGCGGCTTGCACGGGGGGCGCAGTAGGTTTGCGTTTCAGGGGCTTGGGCGCTGGCCGATGCGTTGATGGGGGGCCCGAGAGTGCGTCACACATATTACGCCTGTGGCGCCATGGAGGCCGCATGTGCGGTTGCAGTGGGGCGGGCGCCCCGCCGCGCGCACCATCGCGACAGCTCTCTTGGGCGCCCGCCCGCCGCCGTGGACGTAGTGGGCCCAGCTAGTCTCGCGGTCGGCGCGCGGCGGGTCGGCGGCCACGACGCTGGCGGCCTGAAAATGCTTCGACAGCGTTTCTCCCCGAGCCCGGGGCTACTGCACGTTTTCGGTGGCACGCGCAGCTCGGAAAAGAATCGCCTTGTCTGTCGGCGGCCAGTTGGCTGTCGTCGCGCAGAAGTACCAGCGGATGGCGCGGTCCACGCTCAGCGCAGAGAGCGTCTCCATGAGCGTGGACTCGTCGAGGGGCAGGAGGAAGGACCTCGTGGTCGGGACCATCGCGGCCTGCGATGTCCACGGCCCCCACCCTCGGCGCGTGAGGACCTGCTGGGCGCCGCCGCAGGCCGATTTCAGAGAATCTCGGAACGGGAAATCCGGGCGCGCCAAATTTCGCGGGCCGAAAAACTCTCAGAGAGTTTCGGCCAGCTCCGAGGTTTTGGGTTTATGGGAATGTTTCACGCGGGGTGTCTAGTTCAGAGATTTTCAGAGATTCTCAGAGAAGTTCGGACGCGAGAATTTGGCGCGCCCCGTTTTCTGTTTCTGTGAATCTTTGAAAAGCGGTTCTTCAGGTTTTACCGGATCTCCAGGCGTCCCACTGTCAGCCAGAGACGAGCGACTGGCTGGCGCCGCGCCCGATGCTTCCGGAGTCGCGAACTCCGTCCTCGATTCCCTGGGGCCCGCGGGCCCCTGGGCCAATCGCGAGGTTGCCGAAGCCCCCGGGCGGTTGCGCGCGATTGTCTCCGAAACCGGAGTTGGGCATCCATGGTGGACGCCCGCGCGTGCGCGCTAGGTGTCCGCGAGATTATTCGGTGGCGGATATTGCATGGTGCGGGGGCCTTCCAAATACTTTCCGGGCATTTCTTTACGGTTATTTCGGCGCGCTTCGGGAACCTTGGGGCGGCGCGGGGAAGTCGCCAGGCCGCGCGCGGGCTCTTTTTCCAATGCCTTCTCGGGCATTCTCGCGGTGTTGCGTGGCCGAAGAGGTCACTGAGTACTGCGCTTTTTGACATTTACACGTGTTTTTCGTTGCGTTGGTTGCGTGATTGTTTTGGCGGTCCGCCTCTTTAGGGCCCCCTTGGGCCCTCAAGTTTGTTTTGCTGACCTCGGGTCTTCTGGAGTGACAGGCGCTTGGCGCTGAATTCCCTCGGGCGCGCGCGTGGCCAAATACGCGCCGTGGCCCCGTCTGCGCCGGGGCGCATCCCTTCCCTCGCGAAGCCGATGGCGCCCAAGGCGTGGCAGGCCCGTTCGGCGGCGCCCCCGGTGATTTGAAAAACCGAGCATGATTTTTATCCCGGTCAAATTTTGCCCCGATCCCGGCTTCGTCTTAGGTGTAATGTATGCGGGCGATGGCCGACATTTTCTGTCGGTTTGCACCATAGAAGGGATGCCTTGGTCGGCGTTTTGAGGGAGCGCGCCGATGTTGACCAGATCTGGGGCTCCGTAGGGGCCCCAAACCCTAGTGTTTCCCCACTCTTGCCTCTCCGAACAATGCCGATGTCGAGAGCTTAACTGTGCCCGCGCGAATGTGGTGTAAGCTATGCGGTGCAAGCTATATTGCGCAAGCTACGTGGTGCGAGCTACGTGGTAGAATGTATGCGGTGCAGCACCTGTGGTGTAACCTATGGGGTGCAACCTAGGTTGTGCAATCTGTTTGAGCCGGCGACGGCGGCTAGCGATGGAAATTTTCGAAGCGCCGTCCGACTACTTACAAGACAAACGGGAACTACTTAGTGCAAGCATTGCTTGGGAACGTATCCAGAGTATAGATGGAATGATGTTGTTTTTCACGCCGTCGGCACCTTTCCGCGACGCCGGAGGTCGGGGTGTAGGCCCGTTCCCGGCTGTCGGGCCTTACGTGTGGCCGTGTCGTGGCAGCTCTACTCTCCCTACTTCTGGTAAGTGTGCCCTCATTAGGCCCTGTCTATGTTATTCGTGCTTTGCCAAGGATGCCATACAGTCACACAATACTTGTGTCGGAAATTCAGGCGAGAGGATGACAATGCTGCTGAAGATGTTGCTGATGATGATGGTGGTGATGGTGATGATCATGATGACGATGATGGTGATGCTGCTGAGTATGATGATGCTGGTGATGATGCTGATGATGATGACTGATGATGACGACTGATAATGATAATGATAACGATGGTTATGATGATGATGATGATGATGATGTTGACGATGATGATGATATTGATGGGGATGTCGATGGTGATGGTGATGATGATGAGGAGGATGGGGAATTCTTTTGATGATGATGACGATAAGGAGGATGCGGACTAGTGTAATCACAAAACGCATCAACGATGTTGCGCTCAGCCCTCCCTCTAAATTCCATTTCATAGGTCCCTATATAGATTTATTAGTTCTGCGGGACGTGCGCTGTTGTAACAGAACCGTTTGAAATTCATCAACCGTGCCAAAGCACCATTCCTGGGACTTCAACGCCGCGAATCAATGCTATTGTCGCGCCCCGGCGATCTTGAATCGTGCCAGGACGCAATTCCTGGGACCTCAACGCCGCGAATTACTGTTACCGTTGCGCCCTGGTGATCCTGGATTTCAGCGCGCGGCGCTAAGGCGAGAGCCATAGTTGGAAGAGGAACCGCCCTCCATCCGTGAAGCTCCTGCAAACGTTACTGACGAATGTGCGCGGCGCTAAGGCACTACAGTAGTGCAACCTTTCAAGACGAGTGTGCGCGGCGCCCTGGCGAGAGCCACTTTTTGAAACTGGCCCGCCCTCCCACCGGGAAGTGGTTGCAACTCTGAAGCTCCGTGATCGTAAACGGTGAGGGAGTCTCAGGGGGAAACGCCTGGCCCGCACCACCGGCACGCTTCGGGGTGCGACAGGGAGAGCTGCTCATACGAAAAAAGGGGTGCAGGAGAAGGGTGACAATGAGGATGAGGATAAGGAGGATGATGCTGAGGATGATGGTGATCAAGGGGTCTCTTAACAGTGAATCAGAGATTTTGGCAGTGAAGTAACACTACGCTGTTGACATTGCGTAACGCCGAGTGAATTAACACTACGCTGCTGACAGCACGTTACAAGCATTGAGAGGCGCTGTCGGCATTGAGAGGAGATGCTTTGCGCTGCTAATTTCTGACGTTGCGCAGTTGACATTGCGCTGTTGACAATACGTTGTTGGCATTACGAGGCGGCGTTGGAATTAAGATGAGGCTCTGCGCTCCTGAATCTCTGACACGGCGCTGTTGACACTACGATGTTGGCATTAAGAGGCGATGTTGGCATTAAGAGCAGACGTTGAACGCTATTTCTACCCGCTCGTACCCCTGACACTGCGTGGCGCGGTTGACATTACGCTGTTGGCAGTAACAGGAGACGCTGTACGTTTCTTGCACGCTCCTACCTTTGACACTGCGCTATTGACACTACGCTGCTGGCATTAAGGGGGGACGCTGTACGCTGCTCGCACGCTGCTACCTTTGACATTGCGCTGTTGACACTACGCTGTTGGCATACAGGCGCCGTACGCTCCTTGCACGCTTTTAGCGAGGCTTTGGCATTGCGTTGTTGACGGTTTTGCTCACACTTTTTTTGCAGCGCGCTGTTGACACGGCGCTGTTGACACTACGTTACTGACAACGTGCTCTTGACAGTACGCTGCGAGCTGCCCGTCCCGTCCAGAACCGCCCATAATGAGTTTGAGCTGTTGACATCACGCTGTTGACATTACGCTGTTGGTTGACACTACGCTGTTGACACTACGTTGTTGACACTACGCTGTTGACAGTACGCTGTTGACACTACGTTGTTGTTGACGCCGCGCTGTTAAGACTACGCTGTTGACACTACGTTGTTGACACTACGCTGTTGACGCTACGCTGTTGACACCACGTTGTTGACACAATGCTGTTGACACCACGTTGTTGACATTACGCTGCTGGTTGACAATACGCTGTTAACGCTGCGCTGTTAGTTGACAGGGCGCTGCTGGTTTTCATGGCGTTGTTGGTTGACATTGCGCTGCTGGTTGACAATACGCTGTTGGTTGGCGACTGTGACATGCCAATCTCCACATCGAATGATATGTTTGGCCCGTCTCGTTCCGGGCCTTCGCTCCCATCTCTAGCCCCCCTCGCCACCGCACCCCCCCAGGCACCTAATCCAGCTGTTGGCCATGTGTCCAGCAAGGCAAAGGGTAATTGGGGGGAGGGTGGTTTGAGGGCCCTGGTAATATCAGCGGGAAGGGGAGTTACAGCCCATACCGCCTGGCCATGGCGATGCTATCACTCAGCTTATTGTGCTTGCACGGGACAGCGGATCGAGAGTTCCAGGGTTCCAGCGAGAACGAGGACGTGGACGAGGAGTAGGATGAGGAGGAGGCGGAGGAAGATGTGCGTTGCATTTGCCCTTGAAGGTGACGATTTGGGGCAATTTGCGTTGCCTTTGAAGCCGTTTTATAGCGTGGGGAACCCACAAGAACAAATGCAATTCATTTCGGCACACCCCTCGCACGTTTCGTGGGTCCGTAGGGAGCGCCACCTAGGACATGCGGCCGGCCCGCTTATTTCGGTACACGCCTGGCGCGCTATGCGGCCCCATGGGAGTTGCACCCAGGACCCCAATTGCGCAGTTGAAAAGTTTTCGTGGAGCCCCTGAACTGGCCGCCCCGGGAACATAGGCAATCCGCTGTGCTGTTGGTTCATGCTACGACTGCGCTGTCGACATTACGCTGTTGGTCGACGCTACGATGTCGTTTCCCGCTACGCTCTTGGTTCATGGTGCTGAGCTACGCTGTTGACACTACGCTGTTGACACTACGCTGTTGACACTGCGCTGTTGACACTACGCGGTTGACGCTACGCTGTTGACGCTACGCTGTTGTTCGACGCTGCGCTGTGATTTCTCGTTATGCCTTTGGCTCACGCTGCTGACAACGCGCGGTCGACAGTACGCTGTTGGTGGACGCTACGCTGTCGACACTACGTTGTTGGCACTTCGTTGTTGAAAGTACGCTGTTGACACGACGTTGTTGACACGACGCTGTTTAAAGTACTCTGTTCACGATGCGCTGTTGACACTACGCTGTGATAGCACAGGCGCCTTGAGATAGCACAAGCCCAAACCGACTTGTGCTATCGTAGGTTCTCGCGTTTGACGTTTAGTAAATCTTCGAACGCCAAGTTTATTCGTATTTTCTGAACCCCAAGTCATGATGTCTCGGCTACTTTTGTAATTTTGTGCTCCGGGGACATCGAGAACGGCCCCTGTCCAAGTTTCTGCGTGCTATCCCCGCCCCCTGTGTTGTGCTATGTGCGCGCTGTGCTATCCTCGCCCCTCCCCCCCATGATCCTCCCTGTCGCACCCCGAGGCCAGTTTTTAGGGCGGGTCGGGCGTTTCGCCTGAGACTTTCCCACCATTTATGACTCTGAAGCTTAAAAAGTGGCAGTAGTTTCGCAGATTATTTTTAAAATGTGGCTCTCGCCTTAGCGCCGAGCACATGTTTAGCGCCGAACACAGTTTGATCTATTGGGGATCATTTCCATGTTTGGGATCGAGAGCGTTGTTTTTCGAGCCTGACTTGTGCTATGTCGGTCGCGTTTCGCGCGAATCCTCTCGACTCCGCCGGCCAAGGGGATGGAGTGAGATAAAGAGAAGGAACAAAGAAAGAAGGGGAATGTATCGGAGAAGCCTCGCCCCTCAAAGCGCCGCCCCGGCGGCGAGAGAGGGGGGGGCTCTCCTGATTTGTGCTATGTAAGCCGCGTGCTATGCGCGCCGTTCCGCCTAGACCAAGTCAGGAGGGGGGAGGGGGAAGGGAGGGAGGGGGTCTGGACAAGCTAGGTGCGCTCGCGTCATATCTGACATCCTACCCCTCCCTCCCATCCCTTACCATGGCGCAGATCCCCTCTCTACTCGCACAGTCGGATGTCGAGCAGGGCAATGATCCCGAAAGGGTACGCGATGCATTGAAGAGCACGGCGTGGCATGGCGTAGAAGAGCACCGCGAAGCGTAGTGTCAACCTAGCATAGCATTGCATGCCGTGGCATGGCACGGGAAATGACGCCAGCGCTGCAGCGGGAGCACGAGTCGAAACGAGCGGAAGCGCGGAAATGAGGCCAACGCTGCAGCGGGAGCACGATTCGGAACGAGCGGAAGCACACCGGAATCGGCCCGGGAGGCTTCCCGGGCGCCAGAAGCAGAAATTACATTTTCCAGGCGCCGCCTCGGAACTCGATTTCCCGGCGCCGGCCGGAACCGGCTCCGGAGCCGGCCCGGGCGCCGGCCCAGGCGCCGGCTCGGGCGTCTGGCCCGGGCGCCGGCCTGGGCGTCGGAATCGGCCCGGAAGGCCTCCCGGGCGCCGGAAGCAGAAATTCAGCATTTTCAAAAGAAAAATGTGTATTGGAATTGTCTTTTTTCGGTGCCGCCTCGGAATTCGATTTTCCGGCGCCGGCCGGAACCGGCTCCGGACCCCGCCCGAGCGCCGGCCCGGGCGCCGGCTCGGGCGTGCAGCCCGGGCGCTAGCGGAAAAATTATGTCAGCGCTGCAGCGGGAGCACGATTCGGAACGAGCGGCCGGCGCCTCAGCGAGAGCAGCATTTTGGGAAAAATGCAGGCGAAAACCCAAATCTGGGGAAACCTGTGTGTAAATAAACAGTACGCGGGGTTGGGTCGGATACTCCCAAGCCGTCACCAAGGGAAGAGGGAGAGTAGTATTCATATTGAATAATTGCAAAGCAAGTTCTGCATCGGCGATGCAACTCCGACCCCATCTAGGCGGCCTGGAACAGCACAGGTCCATCCTTGTTCTCATCCTGCCTCCTATGCTTCAATCCCCAGCCCCCCAGTTTTTAGAGCCACGTCCAGCAATGGTGGCGAGGGGCCCCCTGAGGTCAGAATGCTTCGAAACTCGATCCTCTCCGAATTCCCCCGAAGCCGGCCTCCTCGTCCTCCTGATCTGTGCTATGTGATGCCCCTTCGCCTCCTCCTCCTCCTTCTCCTCCTCGTCCTCCTCCTCCTCCTCCTCCTCCTCGTCCTCCTCCTCGGCCTCCTCCTCGGCCTCCCCCTCCTCCTCCTCCTCCTCTTCCTCCTCCTCCGTCCCGTCCTGACTTGTGCTATGTGCTGCCACCTTTCCCCCTCCTCCCCCATCTTCCTGTTCCTCCTCATCCTCCTGCCCATCCTCCACGTCCGCCTGGACGCGGAGCTTGGGCCCGGGGTTGGCCTTGGCCTTGGCCCTGGCCCTGGCCTTGGCCTTGGGCGGCACGGCTGCTGGCCGCCCCGCCCCGCTGGCCCCCAGGGAAGGGCAATTCTTTCGAGGACAAAGAGCCACGCTGATGGCCGCAGTCGAGAGGAAGAGGAGGAGGTGGAGGAGAAGGACGAGGAGTGAGAGGAGGAGGCACGCGGGACCAACATAGCACATGAGGGGCTAGGAGGAGGAGCAGCAGGAGGAGGAAGAGGAGGAGGAGGAGGAGGAGGAGGAGGAGGAGGAGGATGAGGAAACGAATGTGCGCGGCAGGCGAGAACCACATTTTGAAAACCACCCGCACTCAATCCGTGAAGCTCTTGCAACTTTAAGAAAACGAATGCGCTCGGCGCTAAGACGAGAGCCACATGTTGAAAACTATCTGTGGAACGATTGCCACTTTTTATGCTTCAGAGTCGTAAGTGGTGGGGAAGTCTCAGGCGAAACGCCCAGCCCGTTCAAAACAACTGGCCTCAGGGTGCGACAGGGAGGATCATGGGGGGAGGGGCGAGGATAGCACAGCGCGCACATAGCACAACACAGGGAGCGTGGATAGCACGCAGTAGCTCGGACAGGGGCCGTTCTCGATCTCCCCGGAGCACAAAGTGGCAAAAGTAGCCGAGACATCAAAACATTGGGTTCAGAAAATACGAATAAACTCGGTGTTCGAATATTTACTAAACGTCAAACGCGAGACCCTACGATAGCACAAATCTGTTTGGGCCTATGCTATCTCAAGGCGACCCGGGCGTTTCGCCTGAGACTTCCCCACCATTTATGACTCTGAAGCATAAAAAGTGACAATCGTTCCACAGATGGTTTTCAACATGTGGCTCTCGCCTAAGCTCCGAGCGCATTCGTTTTCTTAAATTTGCAAGAGCTTCACGGATTAAGGGCGGGTGGTTTTCAAAATGTGGTTCTCGCCTGAGCGCCGCGCACATTCGTTTCCTCCTCCTCCTGCTGCTCCTCCTCCTCCTAGCCCCTCATGTGCTATGTTGGTCCCGCGTGCCTCCTCCTCTCATTCCTCGTCCTTCTCCTCCACCTCCTCCTCTTCCTCTCGACTGCGGCCATCAGCGTGGCTCTTTGTCCTCGAAAGAATTGCCCTTCCCTGGGGGCCAGCGGGGCGGGGCGGCCAGCAGCCGTGCCGCCCAAGGCCAAGGCCGGGGCCAAGGCCGGGGCCAAGGCCAAGGCCAAGGCCAAGGCCAACCCCGGGCCCAAGCTCCGCGTCCAGGCGGACGTGGAGGATGGGCAGGAGGATGAGGAGGAACAGGAAGATGGGGGAGGAGGGGGAAAGGGGGCAGCAAATAGCACAAGTCGGGACGAGACGGAGGAGGAGGAAGAGGAGGAGGAGGAGGAGGAGGAGGAGGAGGAGGAGGAGGAGGGGGAGGAGGAGGAGTAGGAGGAGCAGGAGGAGGCCGAGGAGGAGGCCGAGGAGGAGGAGGAGGAGGACGAGGAGGAGGAGGAGGAGGAGGACGAGGAGGAGGAGGAGGAGGAAGACGAGGAGGAGGAGGAGGAGGAGGCGAAGGGGCATCACATAGCACAGATCAGGAGGACGAGAGGGCCGCCTTCGGGGGAATTCGGAGGGGATCGAGTTTCGAAGCATTCTGACCTCAGGGGGCCCCTCGCCACCATTGCTGGACGTGGCTCTAAAAATTGGGGGGCTAGGGATTGAGGCAGGATTAGGAGGCAGGATGAGAACAAGGATGGACCTGTGGTATTCCAGGCCTCCTAGATGGGGTCGGAGTTGCATCGCCGATGCAGAACAACGTGCTATACAATTTCTCAATATGAATATATCCCTCTTCCCTTGATGACGGCTTGGGAGTATCCGACCCCCCCCCCGCGTACTGTTTTTTCACACGCAGGTTTCCCTGGATTTGGGTTTCCGCCTAGATTTTTTCCAAAATGCTGCTCTCGCTGAGGCGCCGGCTTCATTTTCGGGCCCCGCTCGTTCCGAATCGTGCTCCCGCGCTGCAGCGCTGACATAATTTGTCCGCCGGCGCCCGGGCTGCACGCCCGAGCCAGCGCCCGGGCTGGCGCTCGGGCGGGGTCCGGAGCCGGTTCCGGCCGGCGCCGAAAAATCGAATTCCGAGGCGGCGCCGAAAAAAGGCAATTCCAATACACATTTTTCTTTTGAAAATGATGAATTTCTGCTTCCTGCGCCCGGGAGGCCTTCCGGGCCGATTCCGACGCCCGGGCCGGCGCCCGAGCCGGCGCCCGGGCCAGACGCCCGAGCCGGCGCCCGGGCCGGCGCAAGGGTCGGCTCCGGAGCCGGTTCCGGCCGGCGCCGGGAAATCGACTTCTGAGGCGGCGCCGAAAAAAGGCAATTCCAATACACATTTTTCTTTGGAAAATGCTGAATTTCTGCTTCTGGCGCCCAGGAAACCTCCCGGGCCGATTCCGTCGTGCTTCCGCTCGTTCCGAATCGTGCTCCCGCTGCAGCGTTGGCCTCATTTCCGCGCTTCCGCTCGTTTCGACTCGTGCTCCCGCTGCAGCGTTGGCGTCATCTCCCGTGCCATGCTCTTCAATGCGTCGCGTACCCTTTCGGGATCATTGCCCTGCTCGACATCTGACTGTGCGAGTAGAGAGGGGATCTGCGCCATGGTAAGGGATGGGAGGGAGGGGTAGGATGTCAGATATGACGCGAGCGCACCTAGCCTGTCCAGACCCCCTCCCTCCCTTCCCCCTCCCCCCTCCTGACTTGGTCTAGGCGGAACGGCGCGCATAGCACGCGGCTCGCATAGCACAAATCAGGAGAGCCCCCCTCTCTCGCCGCCAGGGCGGCGCTTTGGGGGGCGAGGCTTCTCCGATACATTCCCCTTATTTCTTTGTTCCCTCTCTCTATCTCCCCCCATCCCCTCGGCCGGCGGAATCGAGAGGATCCGCGCGAAACGCGCGCGACATAGCAAAAGCCAGGCTCGAAAAACAACGTTCTCGTTCCAAAACATGGAAATTATTTTTTATATGCCAAACTCGCTTTCACGATTTGTGCCATGTCGCCCGTGCTATACTTGAACGACCGAGTATACGTTTTTGGTCGACGCTACGCTACAATTCCCCGTTACGCTGTTGGTTCATGTTGCTGATACTACGCTGTTGACAGTACGGTGTTGACACTACGCTGTTGACACTACGCTGTTGATGCTGCGCTGTTGGCACTACGCTGTTGCTGCGCCGTTGGTTTATACCTACGCTGTTGACACTACGCTGTTGACACTACGCTGTTGACGCTACGCTGTTGACATTACGCTGTTGACGCTGCGCTGTTGGCATTACGCTGTTGGTCGACGCTGCGACGTTGTTTTCTGCTGTGCTGTTGGCTCATGCTGCTGACACTGCGCTGTTGTCACTAACTACGCTGTTCACGATGCGCTGTTGACACCACGTTTTTGGCACTACGCTGTCGATGCTACGCTGTTGACCGTGCGGTGTTGTCCGACGGTACGCTCAGATTTCACGCCATGCCGTTGGCTCGCGCAGCTGACCATACGCTGTCGACAGTACGCTGTGGGTTGACAGTACGCTGTTGGCACTACGCTGTTGACACTACGCTGTTGACATTATGCTATTGCTACGCCGTTGGTTGACACTACGCTGTTGACACTACGCTGTTAAGATGCACTTGGTTGACACTAGGCTGTTGACACTGCGCTGTTGATACTACGCTGTTAACAGTACGCTGTTGACATTACGCTGTTGACATTACGCGATCGACACAACGCTGTTGATTGCATTAACCGTTAAGACGCACTCTCAATGATGATGATGATGGTGGTGATGCTGTTGATGATGCTGATGCTGATGACGGTAATGGTGGTGATGATGCTGATGATGATGCTGATGATGATGATGATGATGATGATGATGATGATGTTGATGATGATGATGATGACGATGACGACGGCGACGACGACGAGGAAGAGAGGAGGATGACGAGGAGGAGGAGAGGGGCGGCTTAGCTTGGTGTAAGGTGTTCTTCTTTTCGCCCGCACAGGGGAGCAGTGCCAGCCGTGGACATGGGAAAAGGGGAGAGGGAGGAGGAGGGGCCGGGAGGGCAGCCTAGGGGAGAGGGAGGAGGAGTGGGAGCGGGGAGCTGGGGAGCGGGGGGAGGTAGGGGGGAACGTATGCCCTTCCCATTCCTGCATCTCGCTTCGACTTCCCTCCAGGCTCTTCTGCCTCCCCTGGTTCCCCCCCCATCACCCTTCTCCCCTCCCCCCCCTGCTTCCCCTCGCCCCCATCACCGTCTCGTGCATGGTTCCTGCACTTCCCCCCTTCCCCCGCCTCTTCCACCTCTCCTTCGCTCCCCTGCCTCTCCCTCTCCCCCCTCCCCTTCCTTACCCCTCTCCTCCCCCGTCGCCCCCTCGCCCCTCCTCCCTCCTCTTCCTGCCCTGCCCCCCTCCCCCTGTTCCCCTTTCCTCCGCACCTCTGCCCCCCCCCTCCCAGCGAGGGTTTGGGGCAGCCATCAATTAGCTCCAGCCTCACTTCCTTTGACGCCCACCGTGCCCGAGCGTGTCTGGGATTGCTTCCTTCTTGTCCCGCGTGACACATGGGGGTCGCGGGTCGCCTTCTTGCACACCTGAAGTGTACACTCCCCTCCTGAAGGAAAGCTTGACGGCCCCTTTCCAAAGTTGTCTCTTGGCGGGGCCGCTGCCGCACCAGGGGCTTCGATACAACATTGAACGGGAAAGGAGGGGGGTGCCGCTGCGAGATGATGACACCATGGCCACGCAGTCCGGTGCGAGCCCGAGAAGTTCCCTGGAACCCATGGCCATGTTCGTCAAGCTTTTCTGCAGGAGTGTGGTAGTTGCCCTCCCCCCTTTCTCCCCCCCTGCCTCCCGCCCTGCTTTTGGGTCGGCCGCGCCGAGGTGGTGCCGCCTCTCCGACGCTGCGGAGCGGAGGACCCAGCGCGCGCCCCCCCACCCGAGACGACGCCCCGTACCGGATGTGGAGGGGAAGGCTCCAATAAGGGAGGAAACAGCGGAGGAGAAAGACGACGATAATGATGGTAGTGGTGATGATGGTGGTGATGTTGCTGCTGATGCTGATGCTGATGCTGATGCTGATGCTGATGCTGATGCTGCTGCTGAGTAGGAGAAGGAAGAGGAGGAGGACGATGATGGTGAGGAGGATGATGATGAGGAGGATGAGGATGCTCATGGTGAAGATGAGCATGAGGATGGGGATGGGAACGAAGATGATGATGACGATGATGACAATGATGATGGCGACGATAATAATGGTGATGATGATGAAGACCATGATGATGATACTGCTGCTGCTGAATATGATGATTTGGGGGATTCGGATGATCATAAGAATGATGATGATGACGATGATGCTGATGATGATGATGATGATGATGATGATGATGATGATGATGATGATGATGATGATGATACTGGTGGTGGTGATGATGGTGATGATGCTGATGCAGTAGTTCATGATGATGGCGACAATGACGATGATGATACTCATGATCATGATAATGATCATGGTACTGATCATGGTGTTCACGACATTGTTAATATGATGATACCGAGGACGATGATGGCGACGATGACGATGATGATGATGATGATGATGATGATGATGATGATGATGATGATGATGATGATGATGATACTGATTGTGATGATGCTGATTATGAGTATGATGGTGAAGGTGGTGGTGAGGATGATGATCATGATGATGAAATGAGGAGATGATGATGTTGTTGAGGATGCTGGTGATGCTGGTGATGCTGTTGATGATTATGAAGCTGATCGTGATGATGATGATGCTGATCACCATACTGTTGTAATGTTGATGGTGACGGCGATGAGGATGCTGATGCTGCTGATGATGCTGATGATGATGATCGTGATGATGACGACGATGATGATGATGATGATGATGATGATGATGATGATGATGATGATGATGATGATGATGATGAGGATGCTGATGATGCTGCTGATGATGATGGTGCTGGTGCTGATGATGATGGTGATGGTGATGATGATGGTGATGATGATACTGCTGCTGAGGATGATGATTATGATGATCATGATGGGGATGATGATGGCAATGATGATGGTGGTGGTGGTGGTGGTGGTGATGATGATGATGATGATGATGATGATGATGATGATGATGGTTCGGTGGTCGAGGAATAGCATGAGGACGACGGTCGAGCAGCAACTGGCTGATGGTGCAGAACGAGGGGGGAGGGAGACGAGGATGAAGAGAACAAGGGCGAGGGCGAGGACAGGAACCAGGGCCAGGACAACGATGAGCACGAGGACGCTGATGGGGGATCAGGGCGAGAGCGCGGACGTGGATGCGGACACAGTCCGCTGCCCAGCGAGCAGCACGCGCGCTGTGCCGCGCGCCCCGCCAGGCTCCTCGAGCAGTTCAAGTCCACCGCCAGCGTAGAAGGACGGAGTTTGCCGCGAGCGCGCCGGCGGCCGCGAGGTGGCCCCCGTGCATGCTCGGGTCACCGGGCCCAGACCGGGAGAGGGAGGAGGAGGTGGTAAGGGATGAGGAGTAGCAGGACGGTGGAGGAGGAGGAGGAGGAGTAGGAGGAGGAGGAGGAGGAGGAGGAGGAGGAGGAGGAGGAAGATGGGGAGGAGGAAGAGGAGGAGGAGGAGGAGGAGGAGGGGGGAGGAGGAGGAGGAGGAGGAGGAGGAGGAGGAGGAGGAGGAGGAGGAGGAGGAGGAGGAGGGGAGGAGAAGGAGGATTTTGTAGGATGACGGAGGATGAGGGGGGAAGTATGAAGAAGCAGGGATTCAACTTTCCCCTAGCTGGGCTTGTCTTGGAGGGTTCTAGTTGTTCATCTATGAGAATCTGGTGTTTGAAAAGGACTCTGGGTGTTGCTCACGCACCTTGTCCAGGATTGTCTCCGTTCATCCGGGCATAACTCCTACAGCCGACTTGTTGTTCGTGTTGCCATAACTCCACTCCACTGATCTCGATCATCCAGGTGCAATCATTTAAGTCGACCAGGTCTTCCTGTTGCAAGACCTCCACCAGCAGGCCTGATTTTGAGCGTGCGAGTGCAACACTTACATTCGACCTGCTCTTCGGGTTGCCAACGCTCCATTCCCTGGGCTGACGTTGAGCGTCACGGGCAAATTATCCAGCTTGTCGTACGTCGCCTGAACAATACTCCTTGACCTGATTTGCGTGTCCGGGACCAACTGTCCGTCGTCTCGAGTTTTTTTGCTAAGGCTGCATTCCTGGAGTTGATTCAGATCGTCTGGAGCCAACTCTTTAGCGTTCGTTTTTTGTTACAAGAGCTCCCATAACGCTCGACTTCAGGTCCAGCCCCAGCTCCAGCCCGAGCCCAGCTCCAGCTCCAGCCCTGGCTAAAGCTCCAGCTCCAGCCCAGCTCCAGCTCTACAGTCCCAGCTCCGGTCAAGCTCCAGCTCGAGCCCCCAGCCCCATCTCCAGCTCCTAGTCCAGCTCCAGCTTCATCTGCCGCACGAGCCCGAACCCTAATCCCAGCTCGAACCCCATTCCAACTCCAGGTCAAGTCCAGGCCGGCTGCAGCCAAGCTCCAGCTCCAGCTCCCAGCCCCACCTCTAGGTCAAGATCCAGCTTCAGCTTCATCCAGAACCAGCTCAGCTTCGGCCCAGCTCCAACTAACTGCAGCTCCAGCCCCAGCCCCTGCCCAGCTCCAGCTTCAGCCCAACGCCAGGTCCAACTCCAGCTCCAGCTACAGCCCTGGTTCCAGCTCCAGTTCCAGCCCAGGCTCAGCCTCCCAGCTCCAGCTCAAAATCTATCTCTAGATCCAGCTCAAGCTCCAGCCAGGCTCAGCCCCCTATCTGATGATCATCGGCCCATCCCGCCACCGTGCCTAGGTTGTGGGTCAGAGACCTCCGGGATGATTCCTGCCCTGATGGTCCGCTACCGAAAATTTCCGGTAGCGCTCCGCAGAGATCGGTCGCTACCGAAATACCGAAATGTAGCGCCCAATACCGGTATCAGAACGTTCCGAAATCCGCTATTTCAACGCCCTCAAACGAAGATCCGGTCGCGACCGAAATTCGGGGTGCGTCGAAATCGCTACCGAAAATTTCCGGTACCAGACCATCTGGGTGGGGTCTCTTCGGAGCGTTCTCGGGGGCTTCTTGGGGACAGTTTATCAGTCTCTTGGGAGCCTCTTGGAGGCCTCTTGGGAGCCTCGTGGGGGCCTCTTGGGGCTTCCTGGGGGCCTCTTGGGGGCCTCCAGGGGCCTCTTGGGGGCCTCTTGGGGGCCTCTTGGGACCTCCTGCGGGCCTCTTGGGGCCGAGGGCTGGGAGGTTTGGGGGCTCGCTTGGGCCGCTTTGGGGCCCTCTTGGGGGCCTCTTAAGCCGCTCTGTGGCGATATCAGGGGCACGTTGGGCCGTCTTGGGGCGTTGGGCAGCCAAAGCGGCGAGAACGTCCGAATCCTTCACCACACCTGAGGAGTATCAATGCTTTATTCTTCTTGGGGTCCTCTCGGGATGCCTCTTGGAGACCTCTTCGGGCGTCTTGAGGGCATCTTGGGGCGTCTTGGGGCCATTTTGGGCATCTTGGGCCGATCGTGCGGCGGTTCGGGGCCTCCTTGGACCAGCTAGGCGGCCTCTCGAGGTCTTCTGGGCCCGTCTTGGGGCCCTCGTGGGCCCGAAGCAGGCACGCGACGAGATGCGACGCGCCCCAGGGGGGCACGCGACACGCCCCGGAAGGTTTGGGAATTTTGGGCATGGGCCCCGTAACGGTCAGGATTGAGGATTGAGGCTAAAGAGGCAGGGCCACGGGCCTGAGGACGCTCCAACGCGTGCCTCGGGGGCATGGGTGGTGGATTCTTCGGGTGGCCCAGGACTCTCGCGGTGGCCTGGGAGATGCAACTTACGGGTTTTTGCGTAGGTTCTGTGGCACGGGAGCTGAATCATCGGTCCTTCTGGGCTAGGAGCTCAAACCCTGTCCTTTTACATCGTATATCATGGCCTGGGAGCTGAATAGCGTACTGTCATATGGATCGGGATCCGAAACCATAATTTGTTGTATGGGATCATATGGCCTGGGAGCCAACATTATGTGTTTTACAACTGGATCCTTTAGCTTGCCCTCGGAATCCGAACTGAGAGCGAACTCGAGATCGCGATCGGAATCCGAACGGAGATCGACATCGAAATGGGACGGAAGAGAGGATACAGGAGGCAGGACAGAGGATATGCATCAACCTTTCTGTAAACTCATGGTCAAAGCGTCCCCCGGGGCCCAATCCAAGGTGGAACGACAAGCTCAAAGCAATTGCAGCTGAAGTCGAAATATTTTTTTGTCCAGCAACGCTGGTTTCGCGCCAAAATGCTGCAGCGACGGACGGATCGAGACACCATGTCAGAGAAGCGGCCAGCGAGACAAGGGGAGACGAGAGAGACATCAACCTCGCCACGCCCTGCGTGGCATCAGCAGTCATTCTCCTGCAGCGGTCCCCGCCAAAGTCGAGGCCTGGGCACGGCGGGCCGGGGACCGCGCCTGCGGGAGCCCCCGTCGTGGAGCGCCGCGTGCACGCCTGCGACCAGAGCCCAGGGCCGCGAGCGCCCAGTGGGCTCGCCTTCGGAACCGAGAGCGGCCGATGCCGCTGCCCTTCCCTCGTCCTCGCAGCGCTGGACCTCCCGGGAGGCCCTCGCTGCCACGGCTGGATTCGCCTCCTTACACCTTAGGCGATGCTTAAGAAGACCCAAGTTTTCGGCCAGAGTCTCGATTATTCTTAACGTTTCAATCTAAATCCTAAAATTGTAATAGAAATGTTGGGTTTTTATTCAAGATCTGAGACTATGAATTTCTTAACCCATGATTTCTTAAACATTTCGCCTCCTCACTCTGGCCCGGGCGCACCCGGGGAGACGTCCGGGAAGTGTAGCGGAACAGGTATCGTCTGGTCTCCCCACGTGCCTTTGTGGGCCACGCGGCCCGCGCGGCACGCGGGGCGGAGCACCGCGCTGCCCCCGACGGTGCCGAGGGCGCCGCGATGAGCGGGTGCCGACGCCGAGCCGCGGCACGCCGTGCGCGCCTCGGCTGCGGCACGCGCCGCCGCTGCCCGCCAGTTGCCTGGGTCGCGGTCTTGTGGCTCGTGTGCGGGCGCGGGTCGGCTACACGCAAGAGCGACTTTTTTTTTGCCGGAGTGACCTCTGGTGTGGGCACCTCGGGGTCCCCAGATGGTGGTGCGCGGTGCGACAGCAGCGGCTTGCGCGTTCTGGTTTGGCCTCCCCGCGGGCCCCCAGAGAGGCGCACCAGAGGTCAAGCTTGCCTAGGGCCACCCTTACGTGTAGCCGAGACGGCCCGCGCGCTAGCTGCCGCCTGTGCTGGCCCGGCAAGCGCAATGGGCGTCGGAGAAGGCCGCGCGCTGCGGTGTCCTCGAGTGGGGCACGGACAAACAGACGTACGGGCCGGTACCAGGGCACGGTAGTCCAGGCAGAAGAGTCTGGTCTCTGCGCCGGCTTCGCATCGCCTGCGCTGCGCCCCGCGTGGGTGCCGAAGCGGGAAGGGACCGGTGGCGTCCTCGTCCAGTGCGGCGTGCTTCGGCGGATGAGGCCGCGCCCTTGCCGCGCTTCCGCCTCGCGGCCGCATCCGTGGCGGCGCGATGGGGCGCGCGGCCCGAAATCGCCGACCGCTGTCCCGAGGCAGCCTGCCGCGCTTCGGCATCATCCATGAGCTCGGCCAGCCCGCCACGCGCAGCCTCCACGAGGAAGGACGTGGTCCAGCACGTCTTCGTCGCGGCTGAGAGGAACAGAGGCGGAGGAGGGGGGAAGATTACCACCGCCGCCACCTCTGCAGGAGAGCAGTGGGGGTGGTCTGGGGCTGTGGTGATGCATTTTGGAGGAGGAGGAGAAGGAGGAGGAGGAGGAGGAGGAGGAGGAGGAGGAGGAAGAGGAGGAGGAGCACGAGGAGGAGGAGGAGGAGGATGAGGAGGAGGAGGAGGAGGAGGAGGGAGGGAGGGAGGGATGGACGGATGAATGGGTGGAGGATGGAGGAGGAGCAGGGCAGCCCTGTTGCTTATCGTCACGGGCTCACTGGCTCGCGCCCCTCCGCCCCCCTCCGCAGGGGATCGCGATGCAGCGGGGCGCCCCTGTCCACCGACCCCCCTTCCTCCTACAAACGTCTACCTGCGGTCTGGAAGCGCCGTCGCCGTGGGGATCGGCCTGAGCGGGCCAACCCCACCGAAGTGAAGCTCGGTGGGGTTAGCGCCCCCCTCCGCGTCCTGCATTTCTGAGGATTGATTCAGCAGAAGTTTGCCGCCAGCCAGACCAGATCCTGGACACGGGGTCAGAGGTCAAGTCCACCTTTTACCTTAGCCGATCGCTGGTGGTAACCGTCGGGTCAGTGGGCGAGCATAGCCAAAGACGCCGTGCAGCAGCAGCCGCAGTCGTGCAGACACGGAGAGGCAGACGAAGCAAGAACAGGGAGGCAGTACCCTTTCTCCTCTTCTCCTTCTGCCTCCTCCGCCTCCTCTTCCCCCCCCCTGGGTGACCTGTGAAAGCTTTGATGAGTTTCCGGAAGCTTCCGGATGCACCCGAAACCCCGCGCAGGCGACGAGCTCGGCGAAGATCTGGGATATTTCTCACCCTTGTGCGACAGGCGGGCCTCCCCTCCGTCCTTCCCCCTCCCTCCTCCCTCCGTCCCTTCCCCTCAGCCCTCCTGCCTTCTGCCTCCTCACGTTCAATTCCCTCTGTCCTACTGCTCCCTCCTCCCTCTCTCCCTCGCCCCCTTCCCTCTCTCCTCCCCTCCCCCCTCTCTCCCCTGCCCTCCCTCGACCTCCTTCTCTCTCATTCGTCCCTCCGTCTTCTTTCCTCCCTCCGTCCTCCCTCCCCCTCCTCCTCCTCCTCCCCCTTCTCCTCGCGCCTCCGTCTCTCCCCAGCTGCCCCTCAGTTCCGATCCCCCCACGCCTGATCGTCTCCTCTCTTTTTCCCTCCCCCCCACCCCGCCCGCACCCGCACCCATCTCTCTATCTTCTTTTTTGTGTGTTGTTTGTCTTTCTTTCTTTCTGGTTCTTTCTCTTTCTCTCTCTCTCTCGCTCTTTCTCTTTCTCTCTCTCTCTCTCTCGCTCTTTCTCTTTCTCTCTCTCTCTCTCTCTCGCTCTTTTTTTTTTTTTTTTCTCTCTCTCTCTCTCTCTCTCTCTTCTCCTCAGGGCAGAGGCGCGCAGACGGGCCCGACGTCGGCGAGAGCGCCTTCGTCGACCTCCGAGTAGTGGATTCACACCCGCTGCCGCGTGGCCGACGCCGAAGACAGGAGCAGGGAGCCTTCCTCCTCCTCCTCCTCCTCCTCCTCCTCCTCCTCCTCCTCCTCCTCCTCCTCCTCCTCCTGTACGGGGTGCGAAGCACATTTTCCCGCGCTTCACGCACTGTCCAGGAACCCGCCACCGCCACCCCGCTTCCATGGGCCCACCTGCGGCCAGCTCACCAGAGTACGCTGGTCTTCCCATCCTCGTCCTTCTCCTCCTGCTGACTTGTTTCTCCCCCCAGGACGTCCTTGTGCCCCACTCCCCCACTCGTCTGTAGCAGCGAAGGTGTGGGACGACGCTCGCTGCGAAACTCCTGGCCGCTCTTTCAGGTGTTTTCCTGTGCGGGCAGTTGAGCTCCTCCCCTCCCCGTTCTCCTCCTCCAGCGAGCCTGTCCGCGAGGGTTGGATTCCACAAGGTGGACGAGGGACAGGGAGGATGAGGGCGGAGGAAAGTGTGTGTGTGTGAGAGTGTGTGTGTGTGTGTGTCTGGGTGTGCTTGTGTGGAAGGGTGATGGAGAAGAGTGGAAATGGAGGAGGGAGGACGGGAAGGGGCGGGGGAGGGGCAGGCGGTGCGCGTAGGTGCAAATATGCTGCCAAGAAGCGTGGCAGTTGCAAGCCCATGCAGTGCCCGATGAATCGCACAGAGCCAAGCGTGCCGTGGAATTCGCGGAGTTTTCCCAAACCGCACTGCCGGCGCACACCACGTCGGTGCGCCATGGTGCGGCTCGATCAGAGAGGCTCTTTCCGTCCGGGCTGCTTTTTCGGAGGTCTGGATCACCTTCAAAAGGGCATTCCGTCTGCCCCTGGGATGGCGGACCGCCATCGAGTCGGTGTCAGCCCAACATACTTCTACTATGTGTGCGTCGCCCTCCCAGGGTTGACGCGCGCACCGAGATTTCTTATAGCACATGCGTCGTGGCGGGCGCTTTCTGGCCACACCGCTCGGGAAACGATATACTACAAGATGGGCATACGATCTGTTTGGGGCGGACGCGCGCCCCCAAGGAGGACATCTAGTACTAGTATGTCTCTGTGCGTCCCATCGAGGTACAGCGAAGACGCTGAATGAAGGACCACTTTGGTCTCAGGAGGTGCTCTGGCTTTCGGGCCGTTCGTTCGATCTGGGTGAAGGGGAGCCCGAGTCGTGGCGGAGGCTGGCCGGGGCCAGCAACGCGCCCTCGTTCCGAGCATTTTCTTTGGGTGGAGGGCACAGGGGTGGAATATGAAATGCCGTCTCGATTGATTCTCGAGGCTTGAATCTCTGTAAAGGGTGCGAATCGCAAGACGACTTGGCGCTCGAGGCGCAAGCGCCCATATGGCTCTCACCCTGAGCCCTCCACCCTAGGTAAGAACATGCCCAGTCGTTCCCGATTCAGCTTCCTTTTTGGTAGCACGATGTCTGTAGGGCGCTGAGCACCCCATCCGAAGCATGGCCCAAGTGCTGCTGGCAGGAACTACCGGCGCGGTCGCAATCTTTCAACGCTGCCTGCGCTACCTCCTGCGTGCAGCAACGGGGGTGGGGGCCACCACCCCAGCCTTCTCATGATCATGTTTTTCCTCCTCTACCTTCGTCCATGCCTCATGCCTCGATCCACTCGGCATGTCGGAGGTTGGGGGGAGATCGCAGTGGAACGGAGAGCCTCCCACGGGGGAATCGGTTTCGGTTTCGTGTTCGTGTCGTGCGTGCGGGCGAGGCGAAGCTGCGTGGGCGCGCGAGAGGACTGACCCCGCCGTCGCCAGGGTCATTCGGATGCAGTGGACCGCCCTTCCGCCCCTGGTGGGCGCGCGGTGGCCCGGGGGGTCCCGTTGGTGTCCCGTTGGTGTCCCGTTGGTGTCCCGTTGGTGCCCCGTCGGTGTTCCGTCGGTGTTCCGTCGGCGGTGGGCGGGCGGTGGCCAGGGGTGTCCCGCCTTGGTATCGATAGTGAAGTCGATCGTGAGATCGATGATGAGATCGCTAGAATGGGATGGGTAGTGAGATCCACAGTGAGGTTGATTGTCACATCGGTTGTGAGATCGGTAGTGGGATCGATATTGAGATCGATCGAGTAATCGATAGTGGGATCGATCGCTGAATCCATTGATACTAAGACTGGCCGCGAGGTCGATAGTGGGATCGATCGAGTGAGATCGAACGCGGGGACGGTGGTGACATTACGTCGCAGCGCAACATCTTCATCACGCGTCGTCGCCAAGTCGAGAGCGTGTCACCAGCGTCGTCATCATCACACCCACCGCATTTGCCTGCAGTTGGCTCTTTCTTCCCCAACCCCAACCTCCTTCTCACCCGAAGGATGGCCGTTCAGGTGCATCTTGTTTTTTCACGAACTGCGTTTAGCTTTAGGCTGCTTCACTCAGTGCTGTCTTCGATTTGCACAACTCGGTCAGATGCTCCTTCCCCGTCCCTTCCCTTTTACCGACTCCGGACAGTGAGCGCATGGCTGGAATGTTCTAGTGTTTTGGGCGCTTCGGCCCCACCCTGCAGCACCCGCGCGGTGCACGATGCAGGCCGTTCCCGTTCCCGTTCCCCCGGTGCGTTCAGAGCGTTCCAGAGCGCTCTGGGCGGCCGCGCGCCCGACACATTCTCTGGGCCCGGCCCTCAGAGGCCCTGGGGCATCAGTAGTGCCCGATGTGGTTCGTATCGGAGGCGCCTGCGGCGAAGCACCGCCGCCCCCTGCCTTTTGGAGTCGCCCACGTGGCCGGGCGTTGGGGCAAGAGCTCTGCCGAGCTATCTGACCACGTGCTCCCCCAGCCGTTGTGGAAACCCTGCGAGGAACACTTGGGGGAGGATGGCGGGGAAGATCATCAGGAGGAGGAAGAGGATGAGGATGAGGATGAGGATGAGGATGAGGAGGAGGAGGAGGAGGAGGAGGAGGAGGATGGATGGATGGATGGACAGCGCCTTGAAAGGTCGGGTGGTGACATCACCAAAAGCTTGAAGGGGGGATCGACCCGAGTTAAACCGCCCTTGAGGCTCTTGCCTCCTCTTTAGCTTTGATTCTGGCGACCAGGGACGCCATTCGCTGCTCATAAGTGGGGGCCGAGGGAGAGTCCGCAAACGCTCGCGGGACTGAGGTAACGCATATCTCGGGCTTATCATCCGACTCACGCGCAACATCGAGCCTTGACACAGGCAAAGCCTTATCAATCAAGGCCTTTATCTTCATGTTGGGGCCAAGCCCGCGGCGAAAACGGCTCAGGACGTCCAGTCCTTTGCGCGTCGGCTTACCACAAACCTCAGCGAGCTTTAGGGCTCTACCCTGGGACCAACCCCCACATTTCAAACACAGAATCTGCTGCTCACGGCAGGGGCCCAGCACCAGGTCCGACCGAGGAGCTTCAAGAGCCGAGCCCGCCACGGCGACGAGTTGGTGCCCCAGGGGGTCACGCAGCAGCTTCTGGAGAGCAGGAGGCGGTCCCCTGCACCCGAACATGGGCCGATCGGGTCGATCACACACCGTCCAACAATAACGACACTGAATGCCAAGTTCGGTTCTCCTCCAGAGGTGCCAGGTCTTCTTCTGTCGACTTCGACCTTGGCTTGTAAAGGCAGCTCGCTTCCAACGCACCTCATTCTTAAATAAGGGTAGAACTTCGGAAGCAAGCTTTATAAACGCATTGGCTCGATTTTGAAACAACTCAACCTGGTCCAAAAAGGTGGGCAGGGGCCTAGGATGGCCCTCAATGGCCTTCTTGGCATGCTCATCCACAACACGATTTGCGAAACCAAACCTACGATCATCACCTTCCAGGTTCTCAAGGGCAGAGAAATCCCGATGGGCCTTGACATGGAAGGTGGACAGAAATTCGGTTCCAGCTAGCTCATGGGCGAAACGCCTCACACCCGCGAATTTATTGGAACCACTCAGCTGTTTCCAGAGGGGGCTCTGCGTCTGACAAATCACAGCTTTACAATCGAGGGCCAGCGCCGTGGGGCGATCAGACACTTGTCCGACCAGAGCCGCCCCCGCATGCTCAGCCATCGCAGGGGTCTGGGGAAGCCCACCAGGAACAATGCCCCTCAAGATGGCAAGAAACGATTCGCTGCCTGGCTCCATGAGGGCGATCGCCCACGCAGCACGGTGAAGACAGCGGAGGGCCTGCTTCGTGCAGCTGCCGTCGGAGGCCATCTCGAGCTCGCTCGCATCACCTGCAAGCGCTGCAAGCTCCTCAGGCTGCATATTCAAATCCTGACCTGCGCCGTCAAGGATGTCACAATGAGGGTGGGTGGCGGGAGGGGGCACATCTTCATCCGAGAACGTGAACAAACCACGAGTAAACACGGGATCGTCACTATGTGCCCCCTCATTCAAAATTTCTGAAGGAATGCCTAGAGATTGTCGGGCCTCCAACACCTCAGGACGCGAGCAAGTGTACAACCTATGGTGCAACGTGTCACGTTGGCCGCAAACACACATGCCGTCTGTGAGGTACCCAGCATCGCACGCACGCGCCTCGGTCCAAATCGCATCCGTGGCGCACGACAGGAAAAGGAACTGCTGCTGCCTCGTGTGCTGCTTACTGCGCGTACACAAGCAATTACGCACGAGGTCGAAAGTGCTGCGCATGCCATGCGCGTGCCCTAACCTGCGTGCAAAACGAAGCTCCGCTTCTCGCTGCAATCCTTCTCGGAGTAGATCGAGGAGGAGGCGAGGGGGAGTCTTACTCACATCAACTGTGCAACCCCAATGGTCAATCCACTGGGTACCTGAAACTACTTTCCAGCCTGCACGACGAGCAGACAACGTTGCACGCGCAAGTGGACCACGGCTGGACTTCCAATCGCTAGCCTCACTGGCCCTGGCCTGTTCCCAAAGTTGGAGCAACTCCTGGAAAGGGATCAAAGCTCGACTAGGACTGACCTGGGCATTCCACAACATTCGACACCACTGTAGAGCAGGGCCGACTGCAGCTCTTGTGTCCCACTCTCCGTACAAAACGAGTTTAGCAATGGCACTGGTTCCTCCGTGGGAGGGCGGCAGCCGAC